TCGTGTTCAAATCCTACGGCAGGGATCAGCTCACTTATAGCTAAAAAATATGTTTTATTAATTAATGCTGTAGCTCCATGTTGCTTACTTTCAACCACATAGCATAATTAATGTGTTACTTTAAAAGTATTAAGTGTAATTGATACTTATTCTCATACATGTAATAGTATTTGAGCGATTTCAATTATACACTATAAAAAAGTGACTTACAAGAAATCATCTTTATTTATTTAGTAATCTGATCCAAAGTTTTTACATACTTCTATCATCCAAACGTCATGTGATCCAAGCGTTTATCCTACATCATGTAACTATTACTTTGAATAGAAGTTAAAATTGTCAATCATTCATTTTATTTTCAAATTATAATTTTATCATATAACTTTGTAAATTAACTACATGAATACTAAGAAATAATATTTTTGTCTCATTTTATACTTTCATAAAACATTATTGTAATAATTTATATCATCTGCAATTGTTTTGTACTTAAATAATTTCTGATTAAGAAAGATGAGAACTTCAATCTTAACAACAATTTGAAAAATGATTTCTGAAGATTGTTTTGTTATATGAGAAAAGCCATCCTATGTGGTTTACGTACGTAGAAATGCTTTTTTAGTATAAAGCAGTTGTGAATTTGGTTTTTAAAGGTTTTCAACTTATAGAAGTATACGGCCTAATAACGGTAGCAAAATAAAAGTAGACTGATAGTAATTTATTAGTTTTGATCTATAAATATTGTGTGGGAAAATGAACGTATTTTTACTAGAAAATATTCAAAAGTACTTGTAAGCCACATGAATAAGTAATCTTTAAGGAGTGGAACTAACTCATAATTATGATGATCGACTTTCAGATCAGGTCAGTAAAGTCAAATGATTTACTTTAGGTTTGTGATAGCTACGGAATCCAGCAAACTTGTGACTTCTCAAATCACTTGTGTAAAAGATGAATGGAAGGTTCGGTGACAATGTGATCTAACTGGGGTGTATAATAGATTTAATCACCTGGCTAGAGATCATCTACATTTGAGCTATCCGGCTATCTATAAATACACAAGAACTGTAAGTATTGCTGCTTAATCGATAGAGGTTAACATAGAATCTCTTCCTGCTTTGGGTACATGAAATTAGTAAATGTCAGTAATCAGCTCATATTGGCCACAAAAGCTTAATACTTAAACGCGTAACTATGATAAATTCCACTCCATCTACATAAATGGATAAAACACCTATTGTTCCAAGTCTGTGATTACTTAAGCTTCAATAGTATAAATTTTAAAGGAATTTATTGATAAAGGTCAATAACATGTTTTGAGGGAAGTGATTAAACTGCAATAAATAGTTAATCAACCAATGCATTTAAAACGCTGATCAGATCATAACGTTGAGCAAGCTGATAAGCTTTGAAACAAAACAATTGTTTACCAAAATTAACATTAAACGAGGTCAAAAAAGAAACATTTAAGATCCTAAACCATGATGGAACTATCGATCGTTATTCTTAAATGATCCCCAAGTAAATGTTTGTCATTTTTATTGTTCCAGTTAATCGTTTAACATATTCAGTTAAGACAAGTGATTAGAACCGTTGACATTCAACGGTGTAATTTCTGTTATTCAGATAAGAGAAGTAAAATGGAATAAGGAGCTCAGGTCTACTTATTCATTATTAGTTGTCACGAGACAGCTGATTGTATCCCATCTCTCCTATTAATACTGCTTGGATTCGCTCATATGTGTAGGGCTTCAGCTGTTGGCCTTTCTTTGTACGAGGTAAAACCTTTTCTAAGGATTCTTGTACCGTTTTAATCAATTGTATGGCCCGATTTTTTGGAGTGTAATACTATCACTAATTTGTTCTCGAGTTTTCGTACGTCATACGAGGATTTAGGAATTTGCTTCAAGCATAGTTTGTATTCCTTCACCCTCACATTCAGTTGCCTTGATGTTTCACCTCAATACGTTGCATTACAGTCACTATATTTGATTTCATAAACAATTTTGTTGTTCCTCTTGTGTATTGGATCTTCGGATCTTACTAGTTTTGGTCTTAGATTATTGTTTGTTCGAAAGAATACTCTTATATTTTGAAGTTAGGATCCTTCTGAAATGCCTTTATGATAAGTGATCACCGCTGTGTTAACCCATTCTTTTTTATTAATATCGTTTTAAACTTCGTTCTTGACTATTCTTTTTTATAAAATGACTTTATTGATACCATTTGGCCACATTATTTGATCAGTGATATAATTAATTACAATTCGATTCCTTTTACATAATGCATAAACCTAGTTTATGAGATATAATTCTAAGAATGGCAATATTCATAACAACCATGTTAGTCGGTTATTCATGAACAACGTAGAACTTGGCATAACAACTATGCGAATTAATTCTTTTGATATACGAAGGTGATTAACCAAAAACCTTTTGGACAAGTCTTACATATAAGATTAGCATTTATCAAAAAGACATCCGTCTGAGATATTCGAGCACATATCATTTCAAACTGCAATCAAAGATGAATAATACTATCTCGTTTAACTGAAGTATCAGGTCATTTAGTTTACTACACATACAATAATTAAAGAAATATATATGTTTTCATCAAGGCTAAGAGAATGAACGCGAAATTAGTTAACTAATCCGAATAACTACATTGCATTACGAACTGATAACTTTAGAAATATAATTTTGACAATTGTTAAAACCTTCTTCCCGTGAAAAATAAGAGAAGACAGAATATCATTAAACATCGATATTAATAACTTCGACACGAATACTTCAGTGCATTCTTTAATTAAATCATTTACAAAGCTAAACACAGACTGACAAATGAATAAACTGACCTAAACACAAGACAGATTAAAAATTAGTAAACAAAGAGAAAGACGAAAATTGATGTAATAGTCCAGAACCATTTATCTTTTAGTTTGCGAATAGGGAGGGGACAGGTCATTTAAACGATTGATAAAGTTGAGAAAAACCTTTATTTGGTTATTTTCTTTATCAATGATGAGAAATGATGACGACCAAAGGTAAACACAACAATTGTTAGAATATTAACAAAATAAGAGATGAGTAAAAAGATTCCAATTGGGCATGACAGTAGAATCCTTAATTTCGGGTAAAAAAAACAAAGGCAAACAACATGACAACAATCACCGAAAATGTAAAAGGGAACACAAGAGAAAACAAATACGTATACATGTATCCTTTTGTGAAATTTTTGGAATGTGTATGGTAATAAATTTCAAAAAGTAACTTAGCAGGACAAATATTAGTTAAACTGAGTTAATGACAACAATAATATCATTATTTTTCCGAAGTATAAGATTAATATTAAGCAGGAATACAGTCATAAACAAAACTTTGATTTTATGGACAACAGTGACCAAACGAAGAGAATGAACATAAATAGTTTAGAAGAAAAATCAACCGAGGAATGGAATTCTCACGTAATTTATAAAAATTTATCTTAGAATGTGGCGCAGTTAGATAATTATCAAGATACATGTATATATAAGAAACCACTGAATGTTGTCATTGATGATAGTAATAAGAAAAAATAATGACAGAATATCACACATACATTGTGAGATAAAACAAAGGAAAATAAAGAAATCATTCACAAGAATTGAGTGGTAGATAGTGACTGTTTATTTTCCTTTCTAGCTCTCTGTCCCTTCCTCCAAAAAGGCGATTTGATTTAACTGTTTATGGACGGAAATCGGAACAAGATAATTGGTTATATAGCACTGTTTATAGAATGGGCTAACATGTTAATATACATAAACGTTTGCGCTAAATATTTAAACAAGACAACATAAAATAAACAATAAAATCGACTTGTTAGTGTTCGATTCATACTAGTCAACTTTAAATTACTGATTCTAGCTAATTTATTGAAAATAAAGATTTAAAAAAACATTTTTCAGTGAAGGTACTTCACAGGTTAACATAATGACGATCGAGTAAGAGTTGCTGTAACCATTTGTACCAAATAAATGTTCTAGCTGCCTAAACAGATGAAAGTCTTGAAATTTTCATCACCCATCAATACCACAAATACATCTTACAATGTTTTTGCTTCATCTAACGTCAACAAATAAAAATTATATCTATTGTATAGTCTATTTCGATTTAACATTATGTAGCAGAAATTTATACGAACTAATTTAGCAACTATGAACAAAACAATTCATAAACACGACTGAACACCAATAACAACCATATACACACAACTGGATACCAGACATAAATTTAACAGCTGATTCATTTATCACATTGAAAATTTATCCACTTTATCATCTCAAGTTATCTTATTTAATCCAGAGATGTAAATGAAACGATTCAAGTTTAAAATATAATTAAATTTTTAAGTTAATATGCCGTCTTGTGTACTATTTTCAATTTACATATAGCATGATAAAACCAATTAGTAAATATCAAAGTAAAAGTTTCGAATAAAAAATTATAACGTACACATGAAGAATGTTAATACGAAATAGTTCGTGACTGAATGGTTTATAAATCATACATAAATGTATATTTATTGACATATTTCTGTTTTTCTAGTCTAATAATAAATTATTCCTTTGATATCAATATCACTGTTATCATATCACATCACTGCTATATATGAATTGACAAAGCAGTATACGTACCCGAGACTGTAGGCATAATATCTAAGTAAAATAGCTGATGAACTTTGACCGAAATTGTTACTTGATATAATCAGACACAATATAAGGTGAAATACTTGTCATGAGAAGTATAAACTAAAAACGATGAATGGATAACAGTAAACGAAACTTACGTTATATAAGAATTTGGATATTTCATTAATATATATATATATATATATATATATATATATATATATATATATATATATATATATATATATATATATATATATATATATATATATATATATATATATTAGTGTGTAATCCGCTTAAAGCAGCAAATTATCACTTTTAATTAATGCTAGTATTTTAGTCATGAGCCACAGTGCCACGAACACTACCGACAAGGCGTTGCTGAAAATAGAAAAAGGTTTATAGTTCAGTCATGTAGACTAAGAAAAGTAGTTACAAAAACTTGATACGTAAAACTAGGATACAACTTGGTATAATACATTCTTACAAACTCCATTAAAATCCTAACAAAAACGTGTTAATTAGTCTTAAAAAGGTACTAAAAATAGGAAATACCTTGGAGTTACCGAGGAGCTCCAGTCAGTCAGCTACAACGTATAACAAGACACGTACATGCATCCGTCCAAGTTGCTATACCTCATTAGCATAACAAGATGAACACCGGATTCATCAAAGTAGTTAATTCAGTGATGGTAATACATAAAAAAAAGATTGTGTATAAGGATATAATACAGGAAGAAAGAATTAGTTGGTAGAAAGTAATTTTAATCTCATGGTTTAAAGGAAGACAGAGAGTGTACACACCTACACCATTGTAATCGATTCTGAGCCGTGTCACCAAGAGTCTCCAACCATTGGCTACGATAGTCGCTCAGGCCCCGACCAAGTAGTCTGCATCTACCAACATGGCTCGGGCCAGAAGTTAGTGACTTTGTAGACTGCTGCCACATTTTGGTTCGGCCGCCCATAATCTTCTACCAACCATCCCTAACACCAGTCAGCATTGTGTGCCATGCTAATCGGTGGTTGAGCATGCGTGGTCCAACCATCTCAGTCGATGAAAATTCACAACCTCATCAACTGATTTACCATCGTTCCATAATACCCTGCGTCCAGCCTCACTATTACTTGTCCGGTGATCCTAGTAGATGCGAGCAATATTATCCTAAGACATATATGATCGAATACTAGTAACTTATGTATATCTTCTACTCTTAATGATCACGTTTCGCAACCGTAAAGGAAAACAGAACGAACTACTGCGCAGTATACGCGCCAACTAATTGATAGACGGATATCTCGCCTTCGCCATGGGTGACGTAAGTTGGTAAAAGCCGAACGAGCTTTTCGAATCCGTGCTGAGATTTCGTCAGACACCAACCCGTTAGGGGTGATCAGACTTCCAAGATAAGTTGTCAACGCGTCCGACTACTTCACTCCCTATCTTTAGTTCAGGTGTTGACGCGGGCCAGTCCTGGAGCAACAACTTGCATTTAGGGGGAGAGAAGCTCATCCCAAACATTCTGGCATTGTTCAGTGTTACCACAGTCTTTACCAAACAGGAGTATATCATCTGCGTATTCCAAGTTGGTAAGTGAACCTCCTTGTATGAGATCAATTCTTGAAAATTCAGTCGACGAGAACGTTATTTCCAGCAGTAGGTCCATAATGAAATTAAACAAAAATGAAGATAGTAGACAACCTTGTTGGACGCCACTCGCGGTTGCAAAATCAAATGACAGTTTGCCATAAGCTCTGGCTCGGTTGGTAGCGTTTGAGTGAAGAGTTTTCACAAGGTTTATGTACTTCTGAGGTACACCTATCAATGATAGACACTGCTGCAGAACCTCTCGGTCTACAGAGTCAAATGCTGCTTTTAAGTCAAGAAACCCTATTATTGTCGGACGCCGTTAAGCATGCCTGTGTTCTACGATGTGACGAATGGTGAATATATGGTCGATACCGCCGAGACCGGGTCTGAAACCAGCCTGATTTTCTTGCGTTTGCAGTTCACGAGTCTTATTTAGGCGACCGTTAATTATTGACGCTAGTATTTTATATGCTATGTTAGTTAAACTAATCCCTCTATGGTTGGTACAGGATGATTTTGACTTCTTATATATTGGGACAATCAGTGATTGTGACCAGTCAGATGAGATTAGATCCAGTTTCCAGATTTTAGCTAAAATATTAGTCAACCTAACAGTTAAAACTGGACCACCAAACTCTAGAGCCAATCTGTCTGGATCAGCTGCTCTTCCTCGTTTGAAATTAGCAATAGCTTTTTGTACGTCAATTAGAGTCGGAGGCCTACTTCAATGTTCCGTTCACATAGTTTGGGGATGGTGGGTAGTTGTAGAGTAGCTGAAGGCCAGTTAAACTGTTACATAAAGTGTTCCGCTCATCGTTCTAAATATCTGGGCTGAGATCAGATAAAAGTATCGTCTTTCTCAGAGATCATCTCACTTACGCTTGACTTCTTAATTCCAGTTTCTTTTGAGTCTGAAGAGCTGTCTGGTGTTACCTACAACCGCTGCCTTTCTCGTCTCTTTTGTTTCCGCTGCCCACCATTGCTAAAGGTCGTTCTTTAAACTTTTGATCGGCCTAAACCTTATTTGTTTTCGCTCATCATCGTGTTCGGAGCCTGATAGGATGTTTACGAGAATCTATCATTGCAATAGACCTAGTAGAAATCCACTGGTTCAAATCACTAATAGATGTCGCTGCTGTTTCCATAGCTGTTCGTATATCTTTCCAAACAACATTTGAGTCAGCCTCATTTTCATAATTTCCCAAGTGTAACTTTAGTTGCTCCTAAAATTTACTGTAGACTTTTCCATAGCTGAGTTAAACTCTAATGAGTCTTCTGCGTCTAATGAGGCGCAAGCAAATACGTGCTCGTATTAGAGAATGATCAGAGTCTAAACATGTGTTCTAGAACGAGCGGTATTCTATTTAGCCTTTCCAACGATGACTGATGGCAATATAGTTTATTTGAGCCCATCGTTGGTTTGGTGCAGGGGGTCGCCATATTAGACGATGTCTCTCCTGATGTTTAAACTTAGTATTTACTGGAAATAAACGACTGTCTGAGCACAGTTGCAACAGACGATCACCATTAACTGTTCGCTGAACTGGGGTACTAAAATACCCACATAAACGTCTTTCTGCTTGGTTTAAGCCACCTACCTGGGCATTAAAGTCACACGCTACGAGTACTATGTCTAACTGTTCAGCTTTGCGGAAAAGTTAAGAAAGCTTTATGTACGAGTCATCTTTCACATTATCCATGCTGCAGTCAGTGGGAGCGTAGACAGAAACGAAGAAGAGGCAACGACGTGTGTCCCTATCCATCCGAAATCTTACGGAGCCATTTGGCCGAACAGCACAAAGGCGACTGTTAGCAGGGATCTATTCTAAAGGTGCTTCTTCTGCCCTCGTACATAGTGCTACGCCTACACCTGCCAGTCCATGAGAACTTGTTGTCGAGTCGCCAGATACACGGAGGGTGCATCTAGTCGGCTCCCCGTTCGGGCTAGGTGAGGTCAAGTGAATGACCACACTAGGATCCTGTATGCATGGTTCGGAGACAGCACACATCAATCGTACGAGATTTTAGGGTTCTAGCCAAGGAGGCCTGCTTGGCCGATTTAACATAAGGTGCGTACGTTGAAGGCTCCAATGTGTAGTTTGAAGCATAGTTTCAGTAAACCTGAGACAATGTTTCGCGCACTAGAACTGTGTCATGGTGACGCTTGAGGAGGAAGTCAAAAGAGAAAGTTGAGGTAGGAGGAATAATAGGGATTGAAGAGTGAAATTATTTATGAATACAGTGGTATCAAGTGCTGTTAGAAGTATGAGGGTGGTTTTCACTTCCTGTTTGCTCAACACCGTGGAAGAGTTCTTCTAGAGGTATCTAAAATAAGATATTTTTAGTGTTGGTCGCGACTATGGAGCTTAAATCTGAAGCGAATAATAATTATACATTTTACAAAGTCCTCAAAATCTGCACAGACCGTTTACGACTAATGTTAGTTTTGGTTACACAACTCAGTGTCAGGTTTTGATAATACCGATACTCTGAAAACAGTATTTAAAAGAATTCACTGATTCGGTTGTACATAACAGTGAAAAACACTGAGTGATATCATTTATTAAAAACTAATTGCTCTGTATGTATATTTCATAATTAGAGACAATTGATTATGTTGAGATATTAGGAAGGATAAATTATATACTGATCCCCCGTTAAGTATTGTTTGTGCTTTACTGAATTCACTAAGCAAACAACGTACTTAAAAATAATAGACAAAAGCTTCCAGAAATCTTGATCAACAACGTGCAATATATGACTAACGAAAAGGGAGAAATATAATCATACATTCATATCCACCAAACAAACATACTTCATCCAATTCTTCTTTAGTTTTATTTTCTATAGCCCGTATATCGTCCATAGAAAGTCCGTGCCATTTATCAAGCCAACAAAAAACCTGACGGTTGAAATTAAGGAAAATTCGCCTTTCTTGCTACATAATTTTAAAAGAAAGTAAGAAATACAACCCTATATCTTGTTTACATGCAACATACATTCTGTATCATATTTTCAACTCGGCTTTGAATACCCCACCATTTAAATTCACATGTGACAAGTTTGTAGGCGCACATTATTGGTAGATCTGTATTCTAATCAATTTGTTTAAATAAGATAAATGAAGATGCGAATATACTAACTTCCCACCATTTTGAACCTACTAATGGACCTCGACCAGTTTTAACTGACTGATATATTCTAGGGTCACATGTTGCATCATAGTCAGAAGCACTGTGCAATTGATCATTTACAATATCAATATAAATAACTTCTCGTTGAGCCAAGAGCTTTGGTGGAAGATTGTGAATCTAATAAAAGATGATTCTTTTAAAAACCAGTACTTACATTTTCGATATCAACTTTATCTTGTACGTGCATAGACTCAATCATCAGAGTAAAATTATCTTGCATATATTTCGGATTCTAAAAATGTATTAAGTTATTTATGTATACCTGTAAAACTGTACGACAATAAGGGTAAGCATTCCAGGCCTTTTCGTCAATTTCAAGTGATCCTTTTGGCGCAAGCAAACGTACATAACCAGGTACTTTTCTGGCCAGATAAAAACGTTTATGAGTGTACTGCCCAGAGGAGAATTCTTCATCATTAGCTTTTAAAGGTGACTCAGGAGGATTGACTTGAGGACTAAATGGTTCATTTACCAGAACCTCTATTCCCTCTCCGCCTCCAGTTTCATTTTTGGATGCCTCTGCAACAGCCCACAGCTGTCCAACACGGTATTCATCTACCGTTAAAGGCAGAATTATGCGACTACATAAATGAGGCAAAGAACAGGAAATGGGTTATACTTATGTGCTATAAGTGAAATGTTGCATCCTTGATCAGTCAAATATAATAATAAGGAGAACTGAATGCAGGACGCCTAGCAAAGTGCATCAAATCAACAAGAATAGAAAAATATTAAGAAGCAAGGGTTTGAGTTGAGAAATAACATGAACAACGAGTAACAAACAAATTGAGTAAAATAGAGAAAATTTACAACTTCTGGTTTTTATCATCTTGACATTCCCTGACAGGTTTACATCTCTCTAAACAACTCAGACTAGTGGTCCTTTTTTCCGTGAAAAATGGTACTTGTAGCATATATATGTGTGGCGCATATATATCTGGTGCCCCCTTGTACCAATATTCATGTGTTCAAATAAATAAATAATATAACTGATAGCTCTTAGAAAATTTAACTGAGGTCGCATTTGCACTAGGATTCTACAAGCCCCAAATGTCCAAATGGGCCGAGAGTGGGGGAAGTCAGCTTTCCCTCTCGAAATGCTTTCAAATGGCCACATGCATACAACCACTACCAGGGAAGTACTACTCACTGCCTTCTCGCAGGTGGGGGTGTTGTTTACGAAATTGAGAAGACGAAAAACGAATGTCCAGCACTTTAACGGGACTGGTGGATACGGAGGGTCCACCTAGGGGAGTTAAAAATCCCTGATGCCAAACTAATGGTGCACATGAGCTCCAGGATCGTGAAGGAACAGATGGCGAGCGAGCCAATCGTTGGTCACCGGCTTCCATAGGACTGCATCTCTATACGATGCTCCACTGCCTTGTGGATCAGTCCTTTAGGTCGAAGGCTCCAGGTGTGGCCCCCTAAGAAAACCACCTGCTTCGGTTCGGGCACCCGGGCAGTATCACAGCCCTCAAACAACTCTAATGAGGTTTGTGTGGCGCATATGTGTATTTGGTGCCTCCTTGTACCAACGTCTGTGTTTAAATAATAATAAATAATAACTAAGGTGCAACACTGCCATCAATGCGGGTCTGTCATAAGCCAACTATAGACTCATGTGTTCATCTTTCAGACACACTTTTTTGAGGAACAGTGGTAATACTCGACCTCCCAAATCTAAGGAAAGGAAGATTTGAACGATAATTTAGTGGTCTAAAGTTGTATTAAAATGTGAAAGTTGAGAAAGGAAACTATAGATTAATGACAGCTATATTGGATATTGTAGCAGCTTCCTAGAAAAAAACAACAACTGGCAACCATTTCGATAGGTTAGGACCAAGTTAAAATAAAGATTAAGTAATCTGTTTGTTGTGGAAAAGTTTACGTATTCATCTCCCAAACTATTTTTGCATAGCTGTTGGAGATAATAATGAATTATCCTAACCAAGGCAGGTGTAGCGAGTTTTGAGCCTGAGAGCTTGTGATTAAAAGCAGTGATTTGACCATACAATGAATAACATAGCTATTATTAACTAGTGATAATGGCGTTAATAATAATAATAATAATAATCAGTGTTTATGAGCAAGTACTTATGAGAAAGGTTGAGCTGTTATGATCAGTATAAAGTCATCTATAGTGTCTTTTCAGGTACTCAACTTAAGTGGTTGATTTTCCTAACGAATCACATAAGCTATATATAAATTGGATGAAATGAATTTTTACAAATAAACCTTCGTGTTTTAGAGTTTTCTTAATTTTACTTACAACTATGTCTTAGAAGCAACTGTCTAGCTTTATGGAATTATTTGCCAAGAGCTTATAATCTTTATCAGTTTCTTTGCAATTCAACTATTTACACTGATGGTACAATATTCAACAACTCCTTTTCGTTAAGATTTGCTAAAGATCTAACTAGATTTCCCCAAGTGTAGCATTAATAGTGATATCTAGAAGTCAGTTATTGACAATGAACCTTACTGTAGCTAGTAAATACCAAAACGCAGTGGAGCATCGTAAAGAGATACAGTCTCATAGAAGCCGGTGACCAACAAGTGGTTCATACGCCATTTGTTCCCGCAGGATACTGGAGACCATGTGCACCATTCGTTTGAAATCTGGTTAAAGCGCCGGACATTCGCTTTTCGTCCTCTCATTTTCGTAAACAACACCCCCTCTGCGAGAAGGCAGTGAGTAGGACTTCCCTGGAAGAGGCTATATACGCGTGGCCATGTGAGAGCATTCCGAGAGGGAGAGCGGACCCTCCCCACTGTCGGCCGTACCAGGGCATTTGGGGGGTGCATGTACTTGGTTAGTGAGCTACATGACGAGTTCCGGGTTGACTGAAATGATAAATTAGCGACAAACTATGTATAGGCTTGACAAATTTAGGTCAGAAACAATTTCCCACAATGCTGGTGGGATTGATTTCTCTCAGACACAAGTTAGTATGAACTAGCTGCATACAAATCGACCAAAATATGGGACTGTTTGAATGGATGACATTTACAATGATGATGCTCTGATTGTGAGTATACGTGAAGAATGTTTCATAATACCTACCATCCAAACTGGAAATGATTAGTGTGCCATGGTGTAAAAATAAACTGACTATATTAGTCGAGAAGCATCAATCAGATTTACAAGATCATGTAAAACCTCTACCGAAAGATGTGCAAAACTTAAAGGGTGTAGAGATTGAGAAGTTTTTTTAGAATCGAGTGACCAAGAATTCTTTATTTTGACCTAGCAAACTATAGTAACTTTTGAATTTACACCTAGGTTAGTTGGAGGACATTTTTACAATATGAACGGTCACACAAGACAATTAAGCCTAGCGATTGTAAGAAAGAAACGCACGCATAAGCACACTGAGTCTCAACATATATGAAAACCTATGATATTCATTCAATATTAGTAAACATAGCGTGTAAACGTCACTATTCGTCCTTTTACGGATAGTTGTATTCAGAATAAGTAAATAATTTACTAATAATCAAACCTCATTTCTAAGGTGCATGACCCGGACTTAGCCGCGATCGAGAGCGACAAATATTACCCTGAAACAGTTACAAAAAACAAGTAAAAACACCAAATCTACCCACAACTCTTTAATTATCATCGCCGCGCAAAATTCAATTTGGTTCACAACTGATGGAATAATCTAATTACTAAGATTGAACAAACAACCAATATCCATCACCCTATTTCTGAGCTAATGATATCCTAAAGATTTATTTATGTTCCTGACGTAATGTTACTTAAACGTTTTAAGTATTTTCATACTTTTACTTGAGTAAATCTTAGCATTTGTTTTACAGGGTAACTGAAGATATTTGAGTAACTAAAAACTGGTAAATTGAATGTTATTAAATTCACTGTTTTTGTATGTATTTGTTTTACTCAACTTCTAAGCTTGTTCGTTTATGTCTTTGACCTCGGACAGTTTGGTTTCACTTAGTCTTTGGTCTGATATCTGGAGGTTTTCAACCACGAAACCTGAAAATTTGACGGTTTGTTCTATAAATGTTATATTTTTTATTAGAACAGTATTTTGTCTATGGTTTGCAATCTGTAAATAAACTTTGGTGGCTGAATCGGGGTTTGGTTCTATGATCATTTGGGATCGTAAGCTACAAGTAGATCGATCTACCGTGCTTCAATAACGAAAGAGAGCAAAAACTCGGAAATAACAACTTAGGTGATTTTAATGACGCTACTATCTTGTATTATGGATAGTTAAAGGTTTTTTTCTCTACCAGTTTTACGACAATAACTTATAAGTTCAATGATGAAACTAGTCATGTTATATCAACACTAGGACTCACGATCCTAGATAGGGAATTACAATAACACTAGGTAAGGCTTTCTTCAGCACAATGACAAGCAGTCGCCATTAGCAAGTTCGAACTAGGAATCGATAACAGTAGAGGAAATTACAATATTTAATAGCTTACAGGTTAAATGCAATTTTGTCCACGCTCGACGATCAACCATACTTTACTTTCACCATTACATAACACCACGTCACAACGATATCCTGACTTTTCAAGAAAACTAGTAAAGTCGAGATCGAACCAAAGAAAACGTCTCTTCTGGTACCATGAAACGAAGAATGGTCATGGTAAACCGTAGTGGTTCATCCATTAATTATATTCTAAACTGTCAGGCCATCACATTTTTCTATGCAGAAACGGACGAAGACATCAATTCAGACGTAACTTGACCCATTTCCTCCAAATGGGCTTATGTTGCAAAAGCCTATACTTAGCTTTTTAGCGTCTTTCGAGAATATTAGTTAGCTAGACCCATGAACTTTTTAAAGTCGCAATCAGTGTTTTATAAAGATCAACTCTTGAAAAAAAGTCCTACATCATGCAACTTTGTCTAAATAAAGAATATTATCTTCATATATTATGACTGTACACCACAAGCCGAAACTGTTCTCGACATAAGTACGCTATACTCGGATAGACTGAAATGTTTAAAGTTACAACATCTACATCATAGAAAGGACAGTAAAAGTGCAATGCTTAGGAGTACTTGAATTATTATACGAATTAGGAATTCCAGAAACAACGCAATTAAACCATGAACTATTAGATTAGCACGAAGAAAGGCGTTGTATTGGAAATTTGAAATCAAGCAGTAACCAAGTACAAATGAATCATTAGTTCATACAAACACCACAAAAGTGTATGTTCATAATGTATTACATCGCTCATAATGTAACATCTGAATTTTTACAATAATATTGTGTGATGGAACATACAATAATCTAAAAATCCATATAACTTTCTATATAGCTAAGAGATTTTTGGTGCGAAAGAACATGCAATGGATAAGAAAAGTGCTTGATAAATACGACATCCTAGTACGTGAGAATCGACAAGGATACTCTCTGCAAAATGAAATATTAATTTCTCTCCCCAAAGATCAGACTAGCCGACATTTTAAACGGATAGTCAAAGAGCATCGACAGTCCGTCATTCTTCGTTCCAGCTTTGAGTCCGGTTAGACTGGACCTTTTATTCATAGTCCGGTATCATCAGATAACAAAATGGAATAATGCAGGCTACTTCTAACCAGAGTCAAATGGAATGAAAACTATGCAAACTTGGCTACACAGGTATTGACATGTATGTGACTTTTTGGCCGAAAATTGCAGTCAAAAGAGCCAGGGGAAATTATTTACGCGCATTATGAGGAGCAATGGTTGAGCTGTTATGATTTTCCAAGTAAATTTTTATCTACTCTGAAGCTCGTGGCTTGTGAGATTAACTCGGTTAGCTTGAAACTGGAAACAAGAAAATCAACATGCTACACATTCATAAATTTGAGATACAGATGACATAATCGGTATTCGTCACGAATTATGGTGTTTTCTAACTGCCTAACAATTTAAAATACATCGAGTTACTGGAACATGCTGAACGATACTTTTGGCTGCTTTCGTTTACTGAAGAAACTATTGAAAAATCGCGATCCAAACTATTTAACTGGCCTTTGTGTGATAGCCGAATTGGAAGAGGATTGGAAAGACTTTAAAGTCACAACTATTCTGAGTTTGAAAACCCTTGTCCATTAAGATTTTTTGTAATTGAAATGTTCCAACCTAGTCAAGTCAAAAGTCAGAAGCGAAGAGGTTCGGGGAAATTTCTGATGGGCTATCGATATATGGAGAAGTGATTAATCAAAGTTGACCAACGGTTGTAGTAGATGTGTATCACGGGGTGTCCACTCGTGATCTGGTGCGGATGCCGTACCGAGCGACTACTGCTAGATGAGCTGAAGACTTAAAGAACTATTAATTTTGGGGATTTTTTTACAGCTACAGTCTCTTCAGTTAATTCACTTTTCAGAGCCTTTGCGTCGCTCACTGGACTGTGGAAAAACCGAAATCCCTTGTGATGAGGGTAAAATTACTGTATTTGGCTGTGATTGGAGTGATTTGAACCCGAGCTGCCAACTTTGAGGAAATTTTGCGTAATTTTGGGGAAGATTCCACAACTTTTGGAGAAATTTTGTGGTTTGCGTCTCATTTCCCCAAAATTTACTATAACGGCTTTCCTCAAATTTCCCCAAAATGGATCAAATTTTTCCCAAAGTTGGCGGCTTGGAAAGTTTTGGCATTTTTTAGAATTAAACGGTAGATTTAGAGCACTTAGAGCAACAATCATCATAGTTATAAATAAAGGTTTTGTTTACTAGGAATACTTATTATGCAGTCCCCTGCCCATCAATGTAAAGACATACTTGAAAACATGTAAAAACTTCTGGCAATACAAAATGTTACGGGAAAACTTAGTATTATGAAATATCAGATTTACTGACGTTTTAATAAAGTAAACAGAATAGATGAATAGTTTGTTGTTGGTAACAATTACGAAGTTTTTTGATACTTCTGCGCATGTTGTGGCATTGTTATTGTCGTAAGATCGGTGATCTTGTAGGTACCGTCATTAGGACGAAGGTGGGAAGTGTAATAATAGCAACTGCATGTGGGTCTGTTTTGTCTGGAGTATTTTACTTTTCTGTCAATGGTTATGAACATGTAAAAATGAAGGTTTGTAGAAACTACCGTTAGATAAAGCTATTTGATTAGACTCAAAAGGCTGATATTAGACATCTGTCTCTTGAAGAAAAGTTCCGTACTTTCGCCTCTTTGCGATTTAACGGCGTTTTGCTGATGACCCCTTCAGATTTCCTACGTTCTTTGGTTGATGATCAAAAGCAGGGTAAATCGTTGTTTAGACTATACTATGAAGTCTTACCAGTCAAAATGATGATAGAAAATGAACCGCAATTTATCGAGAAGATAATGAACAGGGCGTCTAAGAAGAAACATGGGTCTCGTTTTTTTCGAAACCTTCAAAACGATGGGATAATAACATTTTCAGAATATTTGTTCCTGCTGCATATACTAACAAGTCTAAATACTTTTTGATAACGTTCATGTTTTTCAGAATCTCCTTCGGGTTTCGAGATAGCATTCAAAATGCTTGATAGGGATTTAAGTGGATCTGTTGATGCTAGAGAATTCATGATCGTTAGTGATGATGTTCATATATGTACTTACCATGATTTCAGTTGAACCATATAATCGCAGAAAGTACCGATGATATACTTGATACCGATGGTGGGGCATGTGATCTCGTAAGTTAAGAGCTTGTTTGACAACCTCGAAATGTAGTTGCTTCCGGCAGACCAAGCTTATAATACAACTCTTATGACTCACCTATTTGGCTATAATAAGACTCATAACCTGAGCTTTGAAGAATTTAAAAGGTAAAGCTATAGAATAAATTTTCGTTTCAATAGATTCATGCATAATGTTCAAACAGAAGCATTAGAGGTTGAATTTCAGGAGTTTTCTTCAGGCTCATCTGCAATTACACCAGTCGATTTCGCTCGTATTATTCTTCGTTATACCACAGTGTCTACTTCTGAGTATGATGCATTCATAAATCGACTTAAAAAGGCTGTTCCCTCTAACATAGTTTGTTCAGTTTGTTTTACTTAAAACTATATTTTAGGTAATCTCCTTCAATGAATTTCACAAATTCTTCATGTTTCTAAACTGTTTGGATGATTTTGCACTGGCAGTAAAAATGTACACTATTTCAGGCCAGCCTATTTCACTACGTATGTTTGTCACATTTTTGCTTTTTCTGAAGATAAGGTTTGAAAAATAACCAGTTGATCATTTTCTAGAAATCTAATATTAGTTTAGCATAAAAATTTATCTATTGGTACCTTAAAGTGACGTATAATCTTTCGTAATATTTAAAGACTGAGTCGTTCATTTAAATTGGATTAATAAGTCCGTACTATGATCTTAGGAATTCTATTTTTAGTAGTGAGCTTAGTCATAATTTCAGGATATCTATCAGTTTAATCATTATTTTTTCATTAAGATGCAAATTAAAATATGGTATCATTCACGTGTTAGCATAAACGCAAATGACAGATATACCAAGTTCACTAGTCTTATTAACAACTTTTTATCACGACTGCAGAGTTTAAGTTCTAAACGCCTGAAAAGTGTCGCTTAAAATTCTTTTACAATCGGTTAGTTCTCCACGTTTTCGAACGTGAGGTCCATGGGGCTAACAGTCATACTATATCTGATCTTGATCTGATT